CCGGTGCCGCGCTGCCCCTGGCCCTGGAGAGCAGCTGCAAGCCGGCCCTTCCCGACGAGAAAAAGGCTTGAAGGGTTAATTAAGAACACTGAATTATGAAATAGCTAACTTACTGAAAGATGAATGTGCGTGCATTTAGTAAGAGACGCTGTCTGAACAGGAGTCGTTTTAAAGCCGCAGCAAGCCCCTGCCCGTGTGCGGGTAAGCCCGGTGTAACTGGAGGAGGAGTCGGGAATACCTGTGCATGAAAACCCCTGTGCCCACTTTCAGTTTATAGTTTTTCCAGGAATCGGGAGAAAGAGCAATACTTTCTTTCTGTGCCCAGCTCAATTTGAAACAGTCAAACACGGGAGAACTTTTTTTATTATTATTTTAAAGCCAGCTCCAGGCATAGCAAGGCTTCCCTCCCCTCTCTTGCAGCTGATTCCTGTATACAAAAGGATGAGTAAGACCAGCATTTATACATTAGAACAGCTTAAGAGTCTTGTAATTCCCTTAAATATTAATAAGTTGGAAAGCTGGAAAATGAACTGCTATCAGCAAATTGCTCTTTTCCACTCCAACACACAGCAGTCTTGTAATGCAAATCCACAGAAGTAAGCGCACATCTTACCCCAGGCATGAGAAGTACACCAAGGCAGTTGTAGATAAAACCACAACTGGTATAAAAGCCTAAAGAGAATAAAACCTAAGTTGCACGTTGACTTTTATTCTCATGCTTTGCAGATATCGGAACCAAATGAGTTTGACATCATGCTTGTAATGCCTATTGCAAGACTTCAGCTGGATGAATGTGATGACACTGGAGCCTATTACTATCTAAGATTTAAAAGAAATCCAAAAGAAAGACATTTGTTGAAGTTTTTAGATGAAGAAGGAAAATTATCAGCCTTTAAAATGCTTCAAGCACTAAGAGAAATTATTAAACAAGAAGTAAAAAACATTAAAAGTAAGTACTGAGAGAACACGCTTCACCTAGGAGTGCTAGAAGTCCAGTTACATTGCCCTGTTGCTAATAAGATGTGATTTCCCCCCAGTCAAGTGTCTCTGTGGCATTGTAGCTATAACTGCAAATCCTCCTGTCCCTGATTTCTCAAATTTGCTCCTGTGCTAAGAATCACTGTAAATCCATCAGAGCTAATCACATTATGTGATTAACCCACTGCCCCACTACACAATCCTCTTTTCACATGAAAATAATTAATATTAAGGGTTCTGCTGTATGCTTAGTACTTCCTACATGACCTGTTGTTGTGGTCCCCCCCCAGCCGGTAACTCGGACCCCCGCAGCCACTCGCTCACCCCCCACCTTCTTCCCCCTGCTCCCGGAGGGATGGGGAGGAGAATAGAAGGAATGTAACTCCCACAGGTTGAGATAACAGCTCTCCAGTAACTAAGGTATAATACAAACCACTACTGCTACCAATAATAATGATAAGAGGAATAACAAGGGAAAAGGACACAACCGCTCACCACCCGCCGACCGATACCCAGCCCGACCCGAGCAGCGATCTGGGCCTTCCGGGTAACTCCCCCCAGTTTATATACTGGGCATGACGTGCTGTGGTATGGAATACCCCTTTGGCCAGTTTGGGTCAGGTGTCCTGTCTCTGCTTCCTCCTGGCTTCCCCTCTTCCCTGGCAGAGCATGAGACTGAGAAAGTCCTTGGTCAGAGCAAACTTTACTTAGCAACAACTAAAAACATCGGTGTTATCAGCATTGTTCTCAGACTAAAGTCAAAAACACAGCACTGCACCAGCTACTAAGAAGGAGAAAAATGACTGCTGTAGCTGAACCCAGGACACCTGTGTATTTTGAATCTACCTGGTGCTGAACTGGTAGCAAAAGGAAGAGCTTTCTCTTAGACACTACTGAATATTTCATATTGATCTATATAGAAAACATATTCCCTCTTAGGGTCCTCTTTTTCTCCCAAGCCTTCAGAAACATTGGAGCCTAATCATTTTAGTCTGTGTTTTCAACAGTGAAGCAGTTCACTGGAAAACGTTACTGCGTTTCTTATGCAATAGACACAGTAAATCAAGCAAGTACAGCAGTTGAAGAAGAGTGTTCCTGATTTCACAGAATTCCTGAACAGGCCTTCTTATTTAAAATCTCCTGGATAAAGGAGAATAAAGAGGCAGTAGCTGAACCCAGATATTTCTTTTGTTTGATTTATAAATTATTTTTAAATAAACGCCTTAACATTCTTAAAAGCAAAAACCACCCCAAAACATTTCCAATATAGAAATATATCTAAAAATTACTTTCTTCTTTGTTGCTAGATGTGGAAGTAACTGTGCAAAGGAGAAAGGCTGGAAGCCCTACAATAACTCTTCAGATCAAAAATCCTCCAGCAGCAGACATATCGGTGGACATCATCTTGACTCTGGAAGTTCAGCAGAGCTGGCCACCCAGCACACAGGACGGCCTCAAAATTGAACCGTGGCTGGGAAGAAAAGTCAGGGGAGAGTTCAGAAACAGATCACTTTATTTAGTAGCCAAACAAAACAAAACCGAAAAGGTTCTAAGAGGTACCTCAAGTACAGACAATAAGTCTATGTTATGAAATACCTTCTCTACAACTTGATCACTTTCCAGGGCTCTAAAAAAGGGTATCCAGATTCTGTTCAGTATTCTGCCTTCGAGGTACAGATTTTTATCTTATCCTGGATATATCTGGATCAAAGACAATTGAAATTCCTCTTTAAAACCATCAGATCTGTGGTACTGCTCATCCTGTACTGAAATCTAAAGACAAAACTGCTCTGCCAGGTTGCACACTGACTATTGCTAAGAGCATTATATTAAATCTGCCAAGTCAGACCCGTGGATATGAACCTTTCCTGTGCTAGCGCTGTACTCAACAGCAACATCCACTCCTCTGCTTTGTAAGGGGAAAAACAATAAAAGGGGCTTCCTAAAAAGGCAGGAACATCCCTGTAAGTGGGACTGCATACACAAGTTACAGACTTCCACAAGAACTAAATTGTACTTTTCTAGCAAGATACACGATTTCTCACTGAACTCTTGCATGGCTACAACATTGGTTTTGTTTCTTGAGACCGCTGTCACACCAAGCATACATGAGTTTGCAGAAACATCTCAATTTGTCACTGTTTTGTAAGAACTGCCGACTTCAGCAAAATGTTCAGGCATTCTGGTATTTTTTAAAATTAGCGTGCCCATCTTAACAATGCCCAGTAAATCATTACAGCTTGACTGGGCTATCTCTTCCTGTGAAATTCAAGTGCAAAGAGTAACTGAATCAAACAGACAAGGGAAACAGTTTAATTTATGAAAGGAAGACGAAAGTGATTGCTGGCGTTTTAAACAGAGGGGTTGACCTGTATTAACCACTGGTTTCAGAAACATAGAATCATAGAATAGTTAGGGTTGGAAAGGACCTAAAGATCATCTAGTTCCAACCCTCTTGTCTTGGGCAGGGACACCTCACACTAGACCATGTTGCCCAAGGCTCTGTCCAACCTGGCCTTGAACACTGCCAGGGATGGAGCATTTACCAGTTCCTTGGGCAACCCATTCCAGTGCCTCACCACCCTCACAGTGAAGAACTTCTTCCTTATATCATGACCAGAAGGACAAAAATAAATGCTTTAGAACAGTCACCTTGGCTGAGACCAACTCACAAGCTGATTACTTGCAGAAAGAAACGGAAACCATGGTGAAGATTATTTTATCCAAAATCAGGAAGGTTATGCAGTGAGGCTAATAATGCAGAAGTTCAAAGGTAGTGGATTTCTATGAGTAATGTAAGATCCCAAGTCACATTCAACAACTGCAGGAAAGTCCAGGAACTAACTTAATTTTAAATCCAAACATTCTAAAGAGTATAGTTAAAGCACCCAAACAGTTAACTATGTCCTATATTAATAACATACTACTTGTCTTTGGGTGGAACAGCTAGGGAATTCCAGAGGAATTAACTAATTGCAGTCCCTGAATTACATTTTATTTAAGCATGAAGAAATTACTGATATTTAAAATTAAGTCAATTATAAACCATCTTTTTTTCCTGTTGCAGACACTGCTACTTTGCTGCTGTGTAACAATTTAACAATCTTGTGCTCAACTTTAGGAAACACCTGGCGACTCTCTTTCTCGCATATTGAGAAGGCCATGATGAACAACCATGGCAGCAAAAAGACATGTTGCGAATCTGATGGACTAAAGTGCTGTAGGTGGGTATTCCATGAGTATTTCACTTTAAGCCTGCGTGAGGCAGGCTAGCACTGTTTCAGTTTAACATTTAAGAATTTGATCTGAGACTCACTACTCATAAGAGGGAACAAGAATCAGGCTTTTATGCATCACTGTCCTACAGCAGTACTCGCTGAGCATCTGACTTGCAAATGCTCAGCAAGAGGGGGAGACAAATCCCAGACATGTTTACACTCCAGACTTGCCTTAGTAAGCAAAAAGGTGCTGCTTGTTAAATAATCTATCCCAAACTCACTCCTGTTTAGAAGAACCAGTTTAGAAGTCTGATAACTCGGCTTTCTGAGCTTTGAGAGTGAAACTACACTTCGTACCAAGGCAGTTTCTACAACGATGGTGAGGAAAGAACCTGCTGAATGGGATCAGGATGAGGAAATGTGATTTTTCATTCACATAAAGACTGGTTTCCACATTTCTTCAAAGAACAAAACCCAAAGGAGGTACAGAACCTCCCCTTAATGGCAGATCAACTTCTTAGTTTAGTTAATTACATCTTGTACTGAAGCAAGAAAGTTACAACTACTGCATAATTTTTTGTCTTTGCTTTATGAAAAGCAAAGAACATGGGGCTGGATTTGCAAGCAAAGACAGGTACACTACACCCCTACCTAGCAGTGTATTAAAATCTATTCTCTTCTGAGGGCATGCCACAAGAAGGTAGCGAAATACCCATATATATCAAAAGGGCAGCTTAACCTTAAGCGGTGCTCCAAGGCGGCAGTGCCTGCAGCGGGGACAATGCACTGTGTGAGCACACTGCTGACCAACACTTTGTATGCCTGTGTTGCTGTGGCTACCAGTGAAAGTGGTGCACACACAAAACCTCGTTTAGAAACCCTTCACTGCTAGAATCTGACTTCATACACAGTGGTTCTGGATTATCCAGCACACTGCTGCACTTCTCAGATTTTATTCAAAACATTACTGAAAACGTTCTATCAAAGTAAGAACATTTTATTGCTTCCATGAATATTGTGTATTTAAATACCTAAAATACATATTTAGAACTATATGGGAGGTACCTAATAAGTTCTTATTTATTTAACAGGAAAAGGTGTCTTAAGCTTCTGAAATATCTCTTAGAGCAACTCAAAATGAAATACCCCAAAAAGTTGGAAAAATTCTGTTCGTATCATGCCAAAACTGCTTTTTTCCACTCATGCGTCCTATGGCCAAATGACACAGACTGGCATTTGGGAGACCTGGATCACTGCTTTCAGAAATATCTGGGATATTTTCTGGATTGCCTGCAAAAGTCTCAGCTGCCACACTTTTTTATTCCCAAATACAACTTGCTCAGCCCGGAGGATAAAGCGAGCAACGATTTCCTTTCAAGACAAATAAACAATGAACTGAACAACGGATTCCCAATATTTCATGAGAGGTTTTAAAACCATTGTTTACAATAACTATCATGTAGATTTGCAGATTTAAAAGCAGAAGTTTTACACCTTAAGTTTCTCCTCAGTAGTCTGATACAAAAAACCAGAATCAAGAACAGAGAGAAAATTGCATACTTCAGTTACAGCTTAGCCATAACCCTTAAAAGAAATGGGAATTTAAAGTAATATTTATCTTCCTGTCGGAATGCAGATGTCATCTGCACAGTATCCTTATGGTATACTAAGAATGCACAGAAGAACTTGCAAGTTATTTTCCTCCATGTAATTTTCTACAATTCCAAACAAAGGCATCAGTAACTGCCTGAAGTGAAAAAATAGACAATTTTATTTAAAATGAAGATCCACTGCAGAGTATCCAAAACACGCTCTTGCTTTCAAAAGGAAAAAAAAAAACAAACAAACCAAAAACCAAACCAAAGGCACTGGAGCTGCTTTCATATAAACCAGAACAACTTCTCCAGATCAAGTGGGTGGACAATCACCAGCAACAGTCAGCAGAGAGAGAACACGTTACCAAAACAATATGAAGTTTCTTATATTAGTTACTTATGAAGTAATTTATCTGAGTCTTCGGAATTGCTTTGGAAATTGGTCTTTTCACTGGACTTTGGATGGGACGCAACTGTTGTCTAATGTGCTGCTACAAGTAAGTTATTATGCAATGAGCATTTGTGTGATATATCTAGTGGAAAGAAATGTATCTTCAACCCACACCAAGGAGGAACAGTCTCCCTGTGAAAGGTTATCCAAAAATGCAGCATGAATCAGAATTCAGCTCAATTTTTATTACATTGAAGAGTGTGTGAGGAAAAGAGAGTACTTGTAATTATTTCCTGTTACTAAAAATGTGCAGGTGGTAAATACACAGCATTTGGGAACTGCTGTGCTGTAAGTAAATAAATCTTTTGTTTTTTCTTAAAGAAGCTATGGGAATTTAGTGTTCGAGGCTGGATTGGACAGGGCCTAGAGCAACCTGTTACAGTGGGAAGTGTCCCTGCCCATGTTAGGGGGGTTGGAACTAGATGATCTTTAAAGTTCTTTCCAGTCCTAACCATTCTAAGTCTGTATTTTTAGCCAACTTTTTGAAGGCAAAATAACCTACTGGCTTAAATAATGCCCAGATTTCACCTCAATTGTGAGCAAATAAAGAGGGAAGGTCAGAAAAACATCTCACTAGATTCAGTTTATTAGTTTTTCATTTACTTATGACACGACTAAACACAGAGACCAAGCATCAAATGAAGAAGTAGCTCCTTCCCATGTAAATTCCAAAGAGTGAAAGCATACCCCATTGCCATTAAGAATCTGTGTGACAGAACCTGACATCCAAATGTAAAATTCAAGTAAGTTTTATCTGAAAGAAATAAAAGCTGACTTTCAAACCTACGTTTTCTTCATGACTTTGTTAACATTGCTCGAGTAAACTCTTGTTTTAATTCCTTAAGCTAGAAAATTACATCCATGATAACAAGAGTAGAAGCTGGTTTTTTCCCCAGTTAGCCATGGACATGTATTTCTTGCTATGCTCTCCTCCATTAGGAAGAAATGCAGAATACTCTCTCTCAAAAAAACAAAAAAAAAAACAAAAAAAAAAAAAAAAATCAACCCAAACTTGAGACAAGTCAAAACAAAAATGTCTTTTCACTGTTAAGTTTTAAAATAAAAACCAAACCAAACTTGCTTCAGCAAACATCAATTACTGCAAACAGCAGTTATCTTTGGAAAAACTTCTGCATGCCACTGGTAAATTCGGTGTATCAATGCAAAAGTACAGCATTTTGAAGCCATGCTGACAAATACTGCTTACGTTCACTAATCCAGTTCTCTGAAAATAAAAGGAAAAATTACATTCTTATATATTAATACTGCATTTAACTAAAAAAGAAAAAAACCCCAAAACCAACCCAACAACAAAACCCACAAACCCAAAACCCAACAACCAAACCCACAGTATTTGTTTTTTAACCAGTAGATAATAGCTTTAGAAATAATGCACATCACAAGAAAAAATAATGAAGTTCATTTTTCTTAAGTGAAAATAGTGTCCACACACAAAACTAGATTTATTTCTGTATGAAGTTAAACCAGTTTTCTTTTCTAAGCCCCATTTTAAAACACGTTTTATTTAAATGGGACAAGTATAGAAAACAATCAACTGAAAAAAGAAACTTCTAAATTCAAGCCCATAGATGTTAGTACTAACGAGAATCACTTACTCTGTTTCAGTAATCGCAGGGGATTACAGTTATTTTGAGGGCTTGCTCTGAGGTCTTCGTATATCCTTCCCAGTTTCTTTTCTAATTTGAAATTCTTTGTATCTTTGTGCCATTGCAATAAGTTCATTAGGAACTACCTGATAAGAAAGTAGCACAAGAACAAGGCCAGTTTTAAATAAATCTAAACTTTCAGACCCTGCTTTAAAAAAAAATAAAATAAAATAAAAATAAAAATAAAAATAAAAAAAAGCTATTGATTTATGTGCTCCCAAACTAGATTTTGTTATTTATCAGGCCTCTGTCACTTTGCAGATTGTCTTTTCTGTCGAGATCCATGGAGAAATTTTTTTACATAAAATTATACTCAAATATACTTAAAAATAGTCAGCACAGTGTCTCTGGATTTTCAATTACATATTTATGGTCAGATCACCTTATCTGATGACAACATACAACCAGATAATTAAAAAAATGAGTCTTTCAGACAGAAATGTATTTGTCAGGGATGATCAATAGATGAAAAAAAATGTCCAATGCCACTTGTGTGATACCATACCATATATATTTGAATGTTACACTATAATTGATATCAAACTCCTTTTGGAAGTTTCAAGAGTGTCTGAAGAGAAACTTAGTACTTAAAGAAAGCATTGCCATAGGAAGGGTTCCCAGACCAGTAAAACAAAGCTCAAAGAAAAGAAAGGCAAGAGAAAGCAGTCAGTTCTCCCACTACTGGGAGGTCACAAGGGCATCTGACCTAGATCCACGGTGCTTTTTGGCATGTTTGTAACCATGTGGAAAAGGAAGTGAATATTATCAACACCCTTTGTCACCTCAGTTATATTTGTAGGGATTGAGGCCAGATGCAAAGAATTAGACATATTTTATTAAGTTGAGTGATGCTGATCACTGAAGGGGAGAAAAAAAACCCCACAACCATATACCACTCTTACACATCATGGAACAAAGGCGGCGTCCAACAAGTCATCATAAACCAGATCAGGCATAACACAGACATTAACGTAATGTTTGCTGCAAAAAGCATTACAGGTGTCTGAACTGCCAGAAGAGGTTTTGGATCACTAATCTATCAAAGCCAGCCTGCTCTGATGATCTGCTACAGCATGTAGCTATGCAGCGGTAGAGGATGTCCAGCCCAGAATCAGTTTCCTGATCAGAGAGCAAAGAGCAAGTTTACGCAGTGCATGTGAGCACAACATTAATGCGATTGCTCAGCTTCGGTGGTTTGTCTCCCTGCAAGTGGCACAGAGTGCAAACAGTACAGTACAGACAAACACTTCTAATTCTCCTTAGAAATGCCTAGACCTAGAAATGCTTGAAAAGGTGAAGAATGCACCCGGGGCAGTATATTCCTTCAGTTCCTACTTCTTTTGCCATAATTCAGCAATGCTTGCCATTTGCTGTAAGCAACTCTTCCTAAGCTGGCATGACCATCAGCTTGCTAGTAGGTATTTTATGTGCTGAATTGCTCTTACTGGTAAACAAGTGCCCTGGCTGTCACAAGTCCACGCAATAGGATGCCCATGGAACAGTCTATTCTGACTCAGTTTTAGACATTGCTTAAAAATGAAGTGAAAAATGATGCATCTCTCTTGCTGAAAATCACTACAGACTTGTATCAAGAGAGACAGAAGTAATGAGACAAAGGTAGTTTTCAGCTGAAACACTGGATGATTTTCTTCAGTATCAGATCCTCTCCTGCAGCATGAAACAGTTTATTCAAACTAATTGGAATTATCATGTTCGTATTAAGTGGCATAACATCCTTCAGAGAGTTGTAAACTAGAAGATTCAGGTGAAGTTCTAACTCAGGATTTAAAGTTTGAGTAAGTATCCACAATAACAACCACGGGTCCTAGGTAAGAGCAATTCAGTTTGTACTCAAACTCCCATCCCCCTAAACAAAGTAAAAAAAAAAAAAAATTAATAAAAAAATCAATTTGAATCAGAGCATGAGCTAGGGGTTTACTATAAATCAGGCAAAATACTGTTTCTTGTTACAGCAAGAGACAGCAACATAATTGTCTCTGGCTTCTGAGTCACAGTCACAAGAAAAAAAAACAACAAAACAAACAAACCAAAACAACATTACTTTAAAATAAAGAAAGCAATCCCATTCCAGTGCTATTTCCCATACATCTGTAAGAAAAATAGCTTGGAAAGGTACGTGCAGCTATCACAACTGTCAGATATAATAAACTGAGAGATAGTTCAGTTTCTTCTGATATAAATATTGTTAATATTTACACCTTCAAACAACAACATGCATCCAGAAGCGAAATACAAACGGAATAAAATACCACAAAATAAAACAGGTCCCATTAATTGTCTGCAGACCTCTATGTGTGCTTATGTTAGTTACTTTTTCTTTGGATGTGGAAGGCTTTAAGTTTCTGCATTTTTTCTGGGACTCATCTGAAAGATAAAATACAGCTAAGGACAAGAGAGATTTAAGAACCCATTTTTTGTTTGAGGCACTATGAACACTCACCAAGAAAGGTCTAAGTAGCCTTAGACTTCATGAACTGTTTCAGCTGGTAACCCAGAACCAACATAAATCTTACCCAGCAAGATATATTCTTACTTGGTCTGTTCTTTCCAGAATTTCAATCAGCTCAGATGCAAACCTCCAGTTATTCTTAGTGACAAGCGTTATTGCCTCCCCAGTACGTCTAAACAAGGAATGAAATAACTGTTGATCTCCAAAACAACTGCTGCTAAACTCTTTCTACTGACCTATACACTGATAAA